TGAAGAAAACAGTAGCCACTGCAAAAAAATCGAATATAAAAATAGAGTAAAAAATTCAAATAATGTAATCATAACAATGTGGCAAATAGTGAAGGAGCGTACAAATAAAACAAAAAAGAAACCTAAAAATAATTTAAAATTTAAAACAAATAATATGCTTACTGAAGATCCCATAACAATTGAAAACCATTTGAACACTTTCTTCACATCAATGGGGGTTCCCGCAAACAATTCTCGCTCACAAGCTCAGTCTGCCGCCACTACTATCAATTACTCTATATTTATCGAGCCAACTAACCCAATAGAAGTATTTAATATCATAAAAAACCTCAAAAATAAAAGAAGCTATGGATTTGATGAAATACCACCAACCTTAATAAAGACTTGTATCGAAGAACTTGCCTCACCACTTTCCCTTCTTATTAACCAATCACTGTCGCAAGGAATTGTCCCAGACTTAATAAAAATAGCAATAGTCAAACGGCTACACAAAAAAGACGACTCCGAAAATTGCAATAATTATCGTCCAATAGCACTTCAAGCACTCTCAACATTTTCCAAAAGTATTTGAAACAGTCATGTATAACAGACTCTATACCTTTTGTGAAAAACATAATATATTAAATGAGGAACAATATAGCTTTCGAAAGGGTCGCTCTACAACACTCGCAGTAGGTATATAAATACATAAGGGAAGTATTAAACATAATTGACAAGAAACAACACGCTATTGGTATATTCTTAGATATGAACAAGGCTAACGGTAGGATTTCTCACTCGATCCTATTAAATAAACTTTATAATGTGGGTGTGAGAGGTCTGGTCTACGAATGGTTTGTATCTTATCTTAATCAACGCGTCCAGTATGTGGATATAGGCTACAGAGACCCACAAACCAGAATTGTTGAAACTGTAAGGTCTAAAAAAAATTTCTTAAAACACTCTATACCTCAGGGTAGCGTGCTGGGCTGTTTGCTGTTTTTAATATATGTGAATGACCTTCCAAATATATGTAATGTGTTCTTTTTGCTGACGATATTTCATTAATTCTTCCCTGTCCCAATAGCACAGATTTACACCATCTCCTAACCTCTAATTTAAATGTAATAAATTGCTGGCTCCAAAATCACAACCTCGAGATTAATTTCAAAAAGACTAAACTTTTGCAATTTAGACCATACCAAAACGCCCCTTACTTATCAACTACCAATACCTAAATATTCCCTTGGAGTCTGTTGACTCTCACTGTCTCCTGGGTATAAATATAGATGCACATTTAAATTGGAAGGAGCACATTAATAAAGTTGTCAAAAAATTATCTAGTTTTACATATGCTCTTATAGAACTTAAAAAAACTACCGACTTAAAAACAGCAAGCTGTGCCTACTACGCGTACGCAGACGCCTGGATACGCTACGGTTTAGTACTTTGGGGTAACAGCACAGACGCTAACAAAGTATTTCTAATTCAGAAAAAATGTATTCGCATACTTGCAAATATCCACTCCATAACAAGTTGTAGAAATTACTTTATCATGATTAAAATAAGAAATCATTATGTAAATATAAGAAATCATAATAATATAAGAAATCATTAATTACTTTATCAATTATAATATCCTGATATTAACATCATATATATATATATATATATATATATATATATATATCTGAAATATGCTCACTAGTTAGAAATAATATCGACTGGTTCCCTCAATATTTTCGCCCTAAAAATTTAAGACCAAAAATAAAATTATCCACAGTTACATCAAAATTACAAATCGTAAACACCGGTCCCTATGCCATGTCAATAAAAATATATAACAAAATTCCAGAACAAATCAGAAGCATTAAAAGCATTAAAAATTTAAAAAGGAAGTTAATACATATTTAACTAAAAAAATGTTATTACTCGTTGCAGGAGTTTTTTAGTGATTGAGTAGGAAATAGGAAATTGAAACAAATAAATAATATAATATGATCCAATTTATATTTAAGTTAATTGTAAATATTCATTAAATGATAATTTTATAATATTATAATGTGAATGTAATAATAATATTAATAATTGCCTATATTTGCAGTGCCCTTGCAGGGTTCTTATTTTGAACATTTTTTTAAATATAAGACCAAATGTACAACAAGAATAACAAATGAATTGAATTGAATTGAATTGAATTGAATCTACCCTACTCATAGTTACAGAAGTATGTAGATGTAAATGGTTATTTATTCTGTCACGAAAGCAATAAGTTGTTAATTTCTGGTACAATACTTACAATTATTATTAGAAAATTATCATCAGAAATTATAATATCGATCCCGTTTAAGTCAAGAAACGTCGCGGTTCAGTTTGGAGCATGACACGGTCTGAACATTACTTTGTACACGATGCACTAGGATATGTCTAAACGCGCATTTGAACATCATTCAACAGAGTCTCTTCAATTCACTTCCTCATATTGAAGAGCACCTTGAGGTCCTCGATGGAGAGTTTGGATGAGTTTTTGTTGTGTAACGCTTTGTAATAGGGTAGACCGGGCACGGTTGTGACAGTGGTCATAAAGAGATAAAAGGGAAAAAAACAAAGAAAAAAGAAAAGGAATCTTTACCATAAAAGACATCTTTCTGCCATAAAATTATCGGCGATCCATTGAAAAATATCACAACCGTACCCAATCAGCCCTACTCATAGTTAAAGAAGTATGTAGATGTAAATGGTTATTTATTCTGTCACGAAAGTATTAAGTTGTTTAATTTCTGGTACTAATTACTAATTATTATTAGAAAATTATCATTAGAAATTATAATATCGATCCCGTTTAAGTCAAGAAACGTCGCGGTTCAGTTTGGAGCATGACACGGTCTGCACATTACTTTGTTCACGATGCACTAGGATATGTCTAAACGCGCATTTGAACATCATTCAACAGTGTCTCTTCAATTCACTTCCTCATATTGAAGAGCACCTTGAGGTCCTCGATGGAGAATGATGGCATAAGAGGTAATGCGCTAGACCTCATTTCTTCTTATATGTTCAATAGAAAACAAATAACAGAAATTACACAAATATGCCAGAAAACACGCAATGAAATCAAATATAGATCTAACACTAGAACCACAAAAATCGGAGTCCCACAAGGTAGTGTCCTAGGTCCCTTACTATTTCTGGTATATATAAATGATCTCCCTAGACATATTGAACATCCAATGGTACTTTTTGCAGATGATAGCAAAGTAATGATAAAATGTGATAGGCAAGACAATTACAAAAATGAAGTTAATAAAACATTAAATACAATAATTCGATGGTTCCTAAAAAACAATCTTAAAATAAATATGGTCAAAACAAAAATAATTCACTTTTATCAAAGAACACAACCCATAACTATACATGTTAGTTAGCAAGACAATACAGTACATCCAGTCACAAATACAAAATTTCTAGGAATTAATATTGACTACGACCTATCATGGAAAACACATCTAGATAATGTCTGCAAAAAAGTTAATCAATCGTCGTTTGCTCTTTACAAACTCTCCAAGATTGTCAATAAAGAAGCCGTTTTATTAGCCTATCACGGACTTGTTGCACCTATCCGATATGGTGTAATATTTTGGGGCAACTCGGTAAATAAAGAATCTGTATTCAAAGCTCAAATTGCAGATTTGAAATGAGCAATTAGTGAGCAATTTTGTGCACCTATTCAATATTCTGATCGGTTAAGGAATAAATTTTTTTTTGTACTTTTAATTATTAATTACTTATTAAATAATTAGTAAATAGTTTGAGCAATTGCGTATTACGGTTAGGCATTTTGTGAGCAATTAGGAGTACTTATTCATTTTTGAAAAAGTTCTTTGGTTTTAAGGCAATAACAATTTTGTATTTTTAATTATTAATAACTAATAAAATAATTGTTAAATATTGTGAGCAATTGCAGATTTGAAATGAGCAATTAGTGAGCAATTTTGTGCACTTAATAAATATTATGATCGGTTAAGGAATAAAAAATTTTGTACTTTTAATTATTAATTACTAATTAAAAAATAATTAGTAAATAGTTTGAATAATTGCGTATTACGGTTAGGCATTTTGTGAGCTATTAGGAGTACTTATTTATTTTTGAAAAAGTTCTTTGGTTTTAAGGCAATGACAATTTTGTATTTTTAATTATTAATAACTAATAAAATAATTGATAAATATTGTGAGCAATTGCAGATTTGAAATGAGCAATTAGTGAGAAATTTTGTGCACTTAATAAATATTATAATCTGTTAAGGAATAAAAAAATTGTACTTTTAATTATTAATAACTAATTAAATAAATAATTAATTAAATTAAATAAATAAATAATTAAATTTGGATGAGTTTTTGTTGTGTAACGCTTTGTAATAGAGTAGACCGGGCACGGTTGTGACAGTGGTCATAAAGAGATAAAAGGGAAAAAAACAAAGAAAAAAGAAAACGAACCTTTACCATAAAAGACATCTTTCTGCCACAAAATTATCGGCGATCCATTGAAAATTGTCACAACCGTACCCAATCTACCCTACTCATAGTTATTGAGGTCCTCGATGGAGAGTTTGGATGAGTTTTTGTTGTGTAACGTTTTGTAATAGGGTAGACCGTGCACGGTTGTGACAGTGGTCATAAAGAGATAAAAGGGAAAAAAACAAAGAAGAAAGAAAACGAACCTTTACCATAAAAGACATCTTTCTGCCACAAAATTATCGGCGATCCATTGAAAATTGTCACAACCGTACCCAATCTACCCTACTCATAGTTATTGAGGTCCTCGATGGAGAGTTTGGATGAGTTTTTCTTATGTAACGCTTTGTAATAGGGTAGACCGGGCACGGTTGTGACAGTGGTCATAAAGAGATAAAAGGGATAAAAACAAAGAAAAAAGAAAACGAACCTTTACCATAAAAGACATCTTTCTGCCACAAAATTATCGGCGATCCATTGAAAATTGTCACAACCGTACCCAATCTACCCTACTCATAGTTATTGAGGTCCTCGATGGAGAGTTTGGATGAGTTTTTGTCGTATCGACCGCCGGTCAGCACGTTGTCGGCCAATTTAAGCTTTACGTTCTGCAGCTGTCTGATGGACTGCTCCACCGTATCCACGCACATGGATCTGCATCGATAAATTACAAGTAAAAATAGATAAATGAAATTTTTCTTATTCAATATCTTTTTAATATATAAAAATTAATTTTTGTTTGTCGTTGTTTGACGCTTTTCAACCTTGAGAACTTACACCTTCACAACCTAGTATCGAGTATTCTACACACTCTTCTCTAAAGTACAGTCTCGTGAATCGCAAACCGCCTTATTATAAGTACTTGCCGAAAGTCGTGCTCAAAAATGACGGCGCAAGAACCGCAAAAGCTGAAATAGATATGAAAACAAAATATCTGGACCTGGCTCACGACGTGACCGACATGTCCAGTGGTCTGCCAACCGAAATTATTTCTGTGGTCGTTTCTGCGAACGGAAACGGAATGTCAGCCTCTCGGGTCATCCCGGGACTCGCCGAGTCCCAGTCGACTCAGCTTTGCAGTCCAGCGTATCAGTCGTCTGTACCTTGCTTAAAAGCACGCGGTGGTGCTCCTCGATATCGCCTGCATCGTCCGCCGGTTCCTTTCCCTTTTCCCCTAACCCACGGCCGTTTGGTTTCCCCTAGTATATTTGATATACATATATTTATGTATATTAATAATTTTCTTTTATATATTTATTCATCCTACCCAGATTAGAATACTCTATATTTTTTTATTATTATGTATATTAATTTAAAAAATATGTTAAAATTATATCCTTAACTGGAGAAATAGTACCCAGGTAAATCAGTATCACGTTCATTGCTACGTGACGCGATCCGCCCGCGAAATTCCCTTTGTAAAAGTCCCGAAAGATTCCCCGAATAATGTTTCAGCAGTCGTAAATAGTTGACAGCATGCAGGACATTGAAACATCTAGCATGCAGGACATTGAAACATCTGACACTGAATCATCCTCAGTGTCATATCTGCTTGGCTACGTGCATACGTAGACATCTTCCGGTAAGCGACTGCGGCTGTTGACTTATTCTTTTATAGATTTATTTTATTCTAAGTGTTACAGTGATGCAACACATTAGCAGCTAATTTCACTGAACCTCTGAAAATTTAAAAACAATTGAGATAAAGCAAATCTATGTTGCAGAAGTGAACAGTAGAGTCGGGAAGGGACGCTCTAGGCGAAAGTTTATCGACCAAATTATCACGTTGATTCAACCTCGGAACTAGATTTAGTCTAGTGCGGTCGCAAATAGTTTTATAGTACGCATGTAGTACGTGTATAGTACCGCGTGGACTTATACTTTGACAGACGAAAACGCCTGTGTATGGCTACTCCCCTCCGATCCGCCGGTGGCATGTGTTGTTTTATGGTGTAAACAGATAACGAAATTAATTTCTAGCCTATAAAGATTAACCATCATAAACAAATAATGTCTTCCAGGCCGAATTTCGGCGCAGGACAAAAAATTTGAATGCACATGTCTATTTGCAAGCACGCACCTGTGCTCCAGCTGCGGGTTTCAGTTTGGGTCCATCAACAGCAGCAGCAGCAGCAGAAGCAGTGCGGGTAGCGACCTGTAGATGTGCACGTGGCGCGCCTGGCCGATGCTGTACATGCGGTTATGCGCCTGCTGCTCCAGCCGCGGGGTTCAGTGCGGGTCCAGCAACAGCAGAATCAGCAGCAGTAACAGTGTGGGTACTGACCTTTAGATGTGCCTGCTGCTCCAGCTTCGGGTTCCAGTGCGAGTCCAGCAGCAGAAGCAGTAACAGCAGTGTGGATACCAACCTGTATATGTGGACATTTCGCGTCTGGCCGAAGCGGTATATACGGTCTTGGGCCTGCTGCTCCAGCTGCGGGTTCCAGTGTGGGTCTAGCAGCAGCAGGTGGCTGGCGCCGCACAGGTTCAGTCCCACGCCGACCGCCGACAGCGACAACAGCATAACCTGCAATCACCGCTTCGTACTCAAAATGCTTGGTCTGCAGCAGTTGGCTTTCAATTAGAACCTTCTACTTAGGGCTTTCAACCTGAACTAGCCAGTGGACCATATAAGGCTTTCATCTACACATCCTGATCAGTTCGCAAAATATCATAAGATTTCCCAGAAGTCGACGTAAAGCCGGAATCGGTTGATAGGTCAAGTCACAACAGTTAACAGAAAAATATAAAAACATCACTGTTTTAAAAAATTTACGCATTTTTAGCAAAAGTTCAAAAAAGTCTGGGAAAATGATACCTACTTCAGATTCCAAGACCGGATATTGCACATAAATTTTATTGCACGGTCGGTTTATTGCACATAAATAAAAGAGCCTTTTGCTAGATAAAAATCTAACAAACCCATATCGGGTTTAATTTCGATTTTAGAGCCATCTATCAAGAAAAATGTAATCTTCTTACAAACTAAATTTTCTGTTTAGCTTATTGAACATTCCGCCCACCAATGACACTAAGTCCTTAAGTACAAAAACTTAATAATCTGAAATATAACAAGAAAAATAACAAAATTAATTCTATTAAATAAAATTGTGGACTATGATATAATATTTAAAGTGAAATTTTACACTTTTCATTTGTTAGGTACGTTTGCGATTTAATAAATACACTTTAAAACTAATAGGAATAAAAGATACACTTTTAATCCTTAACCTTTAAAATACATAATTTTAAGCTGGATGATTTAACAATGAGTTTTTGTACTGCAAAGTTACGACACGGGTTATATTATTGTTACGAGCTTAAGGTTCGTGCCAATAAAAACTGCCGATCGAATAACCAAAATTGACACTTTAATTACTGAACACCACTTAAAACTTAAATCACACTAATAATTAATCACACTTAATACTTTAATTCACGCTGGTATCGCCAATTCAATAATGCCTCGGTCGCGGCCCAAAACGGCTATATATAGGCCTTTTCCAACGAAACATCTAAAATGTTCCAGCAAATACCGGTCCCGACCGACTAAGTTGAGAAAATTCTCTCCTAGTTCTGCCACTTGATACTAGATGGCGTTGGAGGTGGAAAGTTTTACTATGTCATTTTCTAAAAAGCTCTCCTCGCTCTGCTACCCGACACTAGATGGCGCTAGGGGTATTAATTATGGCTTGCAATACAGCTCCCTCCTAAGATATGCTCGTCCCTAGCATTACCTGCCCCATAATAACGCGTTAGTCGATCCATGGACGATCTTAGGAGTACCTCTTGCACCTTTTTGTATCCAGTAGGTTACGTCATTTATCCTTGTCACAATCCGGTACGGTCCTTCCCATTTAGCTTGAAGCTTAGGAGATTTCCCCTTGCTGCGGACTGGATTGTGCAACCACACTAGTGAACCTTCGTCAAACCCCTTGTTGTTCATTTTGCGGTCACACCGGGTTTTCATCTTTTCGGACATTTGCCAGCGCGATTGTCTAACGTGCTCAGAAATGTCATTCATTTTGTTCCACAAGTCATTTGCATAATCGGTTGTATTCGTGGGGCGTCAGATGGTATTCCGGTGATTAGGTTTGCAGGCAGCCGTAATTCTCTTCCAAAGTTTGCGAAAGCTGGTGTAACTGATGGTCTTTTGTGAACAGCGCTTCGATACGACAACAAAAACGGTTGTATGTGCTTGTCTCAATATTTTGCCGATTTTCCACAACTTTTGCTAGCTACCTCTCCAATGTCTGATTGAATCGTTGTACCATTCCATTAGATTGCGGGTGGTAAGAAGTCGTTCTTGTTTTATGAGCACCCATAACTCGGCAAGTATCCTGGAATATTTGAGAATCAAAACTCCTTCCTTGATCGCTGTGAATATCTAAAGTTACTCCAAAACGACAGAAGACTTGATTAACTGGTTTATCTGCAACTGTTGAAGCTTCTTGATTTAGAATGGCGAAGACTTCTTGCCACTTACTGAAATAATCCATTATAAACATGAAATACTTGTTACCATTTTCACTTTACGGGAACGGCCCCTGTACATTAATGGCTATTCTCTTCCATGGTGCATTAACATTGTACAACTTCAATGGCCCTCTACTACGAGTCTGAGTTCCCTTTACAGCCGAGCAACTTGTACATTTGCGACAATAGTCCTCGACGTCACCTCGAGGTGGACCCAGTAAAACCGTTCTCTAATTTTCAGTAGAGTTCGTTTAATTCCCAGATGGCCTCCTGAACAATCATTATGGTACAGCTGTAGAACATACTACTTTAGCTTTAAGGACAACCAGTTGTAAATGACAGCTGTCTCCCCGACCACTTTCCCATTTACGGCACAGAACTCCAATCTGAAGCAGGAAGTTATCCCGTTGGGCACAATAGCTTTTCGTGGTTGAACTCATCGCTGAGACGTCGCTCCACTTGGACTTGAAAGCACCGGCCTTCATCCATTCCAGAATCGGCTTGATGTCCGGATCTTCCTGCTGTGCATGTTATTAACTGTCCTTTCACTCGTTGCTGAGGTGGTCTGTCCTGAGCATCCTCATAGATACCACTTCCTTACTCTCTTGCCTAGTACAATGCTTGCAATCTTCAGAACAAAGTCTTCTTGACAATGCATCTGCGTTGCCATGAGATTTCCCGCTGCGATGTTCGATCACAAAGTCGTATTCCTGCAGTAGTTCTATCTACCTCGCAGCTCGTCCTTCTGGATTTTTAAACTGCTACAGCCATTTTAGTGCAGCATGGTCAGTTCGTAAGTGAAATTTCCTCCCCAGAAGATATTTGCTAAAATACTGCAACGTCTTTACCACAGCTAGCAATTCTCGTCTTGGGACACAATAGTTCCTTTCCGGTTTTGACATCGACTTGCTGAAGTACGCTATCACAACCTCTTGATCACCATTCCGTTGAGACAACACACTGCCAAGTCCTATATCACTTGCGTCTGTGTCAACTATAAATTCCTTGCCTGCATCAGGGTACCCCAAAATAGGTGTTTTGCACAGACGGTCCTTGAGCTCCTGGACTGCGATGTTGCAACTTTCATCCCAGCAGAAATACCGCTTCTTCTCGGTTAGCTTGTGCAGAAGTTTGGCTATATCTGTAAAGTTATTCACAAATCGCCGATAACAGGAGCACAAATTCAAAAATGCGCTAACCTGCGTCTTGTCTTTTGAAACTGGCCAATCCTTGACTGAATCGATTTTCTCCGGATCCGTGAGGTACCTACTTCCGACACTACATACCCCAAAAAGTAGACTTGCCGTTTGAATAGTGAATATTTCTTTGGACTCAACTTGAGGTAGGCACTCTGAATCTTCATGAGCACGCGTTCCAGCTTTTGAAGGTATTCCTCAAACGTACGGCCTACGATGATGATGTCATCCAAGTAGACCAGACAGGCATTGCCAATTAGCCCGGTAAGTACAAGTTCCATCAACCTTTCAAATGTTGCCGGAGCATTGCACCATCAAATCGGAATTACTTTAAATTGCCATACGACCCTTCCCGTCGAGAAAACAGTGTTCTCCTTGTCCTTAGGGTCAATTACAACTTGCCAGTAGCCACTTTTTAGATCCAGCATGCTAAACCACTTTACTCCTGTAATCATGTCCAGTGTGTACGGAACTGAGACGTGGTCCTTCACTGCTGGCCGTATGAGGACGCTCAAAGTAGCTCAGCGAGCTATGGAGAGGGCTATGCTCGGAGTTTCTCTGCGTGATAAACTTAGATATGAGGATATCCGCAGTAGAACCAGAGTGACCGACATAGCCTAACGGATTAGTAAGCTGAAGTGGCAATTGGCCGGCCATATAGCTCGAAGAACCGACAACCGTTGGGGAAAAAAGGTTCACGAGTGGCAGCCCCATACCGGTAGGCGAAGTGTAGGGCGACCCCCTACTAGATGGAGTGACGACTTGATAAGACATACAGGAATTCGATGGATGCAGGTGACTCAGGACCGTGCTTTGTGGCATACCTTGGGGGAGGCCTATGTTCAGCAGTGGACTTGTGAAGGGCTGCAATGATAATGATGATGATGATAACTAACGTCCAATATCTATTTTGTCAGCTATATCAAAAATATTTGAATTATTAGTTCACTCTGTAATTTATCGGCATACTCAAAGATACATAAACGAAAATTAGCACGGTTTTACGTACGACACTCAATAAGTTTTGAGATATACGAAAAGTATTCTAGATACTATTAACATTTATTTTACATGTTTTCAAAATGTTCTCCATCATACTCTATACAAAGTTTCATTCACCTAAACCAACTCTGAAAACACTTTTGCCAGTCTTAATCTGACAGGTCGGAAATCGCTTCTTCGTAGGCAGCCACGGCTTCTTCGGCGCTTGAAAAAGACTTGCCTTTTGTTTTTTCTTTGACTCTTGGGAAAAAACGAAATCACAAGGAGCTTAATCAGGGCTGTAGGGTGGGTGACTTAGAGTTTCAACACCAGATTCCTCAATTAATGCTTTTATTCCAAGGAGGTATGTGATGAGGTGTTATCGTGATGTAGCTAGATTTCCCGAAGCCCGGTCTTTGGTCTTCTCTCCCGCACAACTTGAAAAGCTTTGGGTAATGCAACCGTAGTATACCATTCAGAGTTGACTGACCTACAAACTTCCGGCATTGACGTTAACAAATGTACGCAATATTTCAGTAGTCCATACGTTTTCTGTCGTTACTGCTGTTTTCGGGGCCCCGGTTCTTTGGTCATCTTTTAGGTTAATTTTACCTCTTTTGATAATACTCACGCCTGTCACCCAGACTAGAGACTTCCATTCGGCACGATCTTGACACACTTCTCTCGCCTCCTTCACATCCATATACTTACACATACATGCTCGTCGGTTAATGGTACTCCTAATTTGGCCCGTTTTCAATAAATCACTAATTTGGTCGATAAATTTTCGCCTGGGACGTCCCTTTCCGACTCTGCTATTTACTTCTGCAACATAAATTTTCTGTGTCATTCTTTCCTCATTCATTCTTTC